GAGCCGGCCAGGGCAGGCTGAGCAAGGGGCACCACTGGCATGCAGTCCCTGGAAGCAGGCGGTGCGCAGGCAGGTGAGTCAGCCAGTGGCAGCTCCACCTGCAGGAGGGTGCTGGGCTCCTCCTTCCCGGGGGGCAGGGCGGGTAGGGTTGTGTGCCAGAAACGCTAAGAACAGAAGAGTATTTTGTGCTTTCAGAGTGCTTTGGAGTAGGGCAGGGCTGGTATGCCTGGCTGGCGCAAAAACAGGACGGTGGAGGTCCAGGGAGAAGAGCGGGTGCATCTGGTGCTTGCTCTATGCAGGTGACTTGCCAAGGTTGTCGCTATGTCTCGTCGAGGCCTGCTGTGCCTGAAGGTGGGCACAGTGGTGCGGGGTCCTGAGGTGGCTGCGTCTTCCCAACCCCCTCCTAACTGGCCGCCACCTGACGCTGCCGCAGGTGCTGAGCGCCGGTGAAGCCCATCTGGTCATTGACCAGCCTCATGCCTTGCTTGGCCTTTCATGGCTGGTTCTCTCCCCCAGAAACCAAGGCCCGCGAGTCTCTGCAGTTAGCCGCTGCTCTCTGGCTGGCTGCCCTCTCCTGTGCTTACTCCTCAGCTCCACTTCAGGCTGGCTTTCCCAGCTTTCTCCTGTCACCCACACCCTTCGCCATGACAGCTCTCTAGTGCCTAGCACCACCTCGCCCCTTGCTGGGACTGTCCCTGTGTGGACCTCCCACCCGAGCTCAGGTCCTGCTGGGCTGGCTGTGCCTGGGGCGGAGCTGTCACACCTGAGAAGCAGCCGAAGGGCTGGCGGCCAGTGTGGGGAGCCCTCACCTTGTCTGCTGGGGACAACCTCCCAGGCATCCTACCTGCCGGCAAATCCCCACTGCCAGGCCCCACCAGGACAAGCATTGCATCATGCAAATGCAAGGTTAGGGGCTCAAGCCAAAGAGACTAGAGCTCCTAACCAGAAGTCCTACAGGCCACTGCTGGTGGGGGCGTCAGAGAAGCCCTCTGTGTTCTCTTTGTTGTTCGAGACCTCCCAGCTTTGTATTAGGCTGTTTGCCCTGTTTGCTGAGGTTCCAGGCAGAGAGGGCAGGTGTGGGAAGATCGGTTTGTGAGTCCCCAAGGTTGTGGGGGGGAAAGAAAGTGTAACACAGAGTTCATGTGAAGTGCCCTCTTACCTGAGGGCAGTATTTCCAAGGTTACCCACCCATGCCTGAAACCGCGGAGTATTAAATCCTGCGTATAGAGTGGTTTTCCTGTACAAGCATATAGAAATTTAATGTTTTTCTGTCTTAGTCTCTGTTTATCACACTGCGCCCATAACTTTTTCCATTTGAGGTGTGATAGCAAAACCAGTGTGAATTTCTTTTTCCTTTCTCACAATTTCAGAGACTGAAGATTCATCCTTACTGTTGATCTTCGCAGCCTTGGCATACGAGCTCCTTAAAGTTCAGAGCTCTTTATTTTTCACTGTTTTGCTTTGGCAGCTATGCACAGCATTACTGGTCTTGCACTGTGGGCCCATTATTAGATAAAGTCAGGGCTGCTTGCCCACAAGTGCTGTGCTACAGTGACAGGCAATCTGATGATTTGCGGGAGGGAAGCATATACACAGTGGATATTCTGGGGAAGTACGTGGTTTGTATCTTGGGCAGGAAAGAGTGGAACTGCATGAGATTTCAACATGCTACCCAGAATGAGTGCAGTTTAAAACTTATAAATTGTTTATTTCTGAAAATTTCCATTTACTATTTTCAGATCATAGTTGCTACAAGTAGATGCAACCACAAGTAGTGGAACTACACTTTGGCAGTGGAACTGAGAAAGGGAGTGGGACGACACTGTAGTGTAAGACCATTGCTTCCGGGTCCACAAAGCGGCCACAGGGGGTTAGCCCTTCCTAAGTCGCTTGGGGCCTAAAGAGCCCTTTGTTCTGAGGGGTGGAGTGCTTTCTTTCACAGTCAGGTTTAAAGCGCGATATCCTACCAAGGAAATGAGGGACATCTTCAACACCACGACCCTGTCGGACAGAGTCACTTCCCTCCTGGATTAGGAAGCCTGGTCTCCGAGAGGGATGTAAAATGCCCAAACATCAGAGCACGGCAATGGGTGTCATCGTGCACAGCCTGCCAACGTCTGATGAAATGAGTGAGTTAGCAAGCCAACCATGTCTTACACTCCAGGGATTGGTGGGGCCCCTGTCCAGCTGGCCCAGCGCATCGCTTCCAACATCCAGAAGAATCACAGTGTTCTGTGGCAATCCAAAGGGCGTTGGATCACCTTGGAACACCTCAAGACTCACCTGCGTTGAGGCAACAGCTGCAACAGAAGCAGCAGCACGCTCACCAACTTGCCGAAGAAACAGATAAGTACATTGGAGAGTTTGGATCTCTACCCACCACTCCCAGTGAACAGCGTCCAAGGAAAATACCGAAGGATCGCTTAGGGGCCGAACCAATTCACAATAGCACTGACAAACTTCAGAAGGTCCAGCGGCAAGCGCTGAGAGAGAGAAGGCATTTGTTGCCCGAGTAAGAGCCAGTTCCAGAGTATCGGGTGCTTTTCCTGAGGACAACTCAAAAGAAAGGAATCTTGTACCTTGGGAAAGCCAAACACAGCCACAAGTGCAAGTGCAAGCCGATGAGATTACAGAAGACCTCCGCCGCATTCACGGGAGAGAGTCTTCTATCAGGCGGCTTGAGGCTGATATTACGGATATTAATGAAATATTTAAACACTTGGGGACAATCATTCATGAACAGGGAGATGTGATTGGCAGTCCAGAAGGCAGTGTGGAGGGCACAGAGGTACACGTTCAGCAGGCAAATCAGCAGCTGTCCGGGCAGCGAACTATCAGCGCAATTCCAGGAAAGCCCTGTGCGTCATCATTGCTGTGCTGTCGTGGAGCTGTGACTGTTGGTCTCCCCATACGGGACTGCAGTCCTAAAGTCATGCAGAAGCAGAGCGCGGTACTGCATCGTCGAGGTCACGTAGGAGGCGGCCTGTAATCGTGCTCTTGTTATTATTTAAAGACTATTGCAAAGGATGGTCCCACACGTAGTTATTTTTATGGGGGCGACAGGGTTCCTTTGAGTTAAATATGATATTTTCTAATAACTGAAAGTTTTTCTAAGTATCATGGCTGGCATAGCTGTCATGCTTTTTAATTTAATAACTAGAAGGTTTCTGTCCATGTCGCACATGGCTTTCATCCACAATTTATTTGCCTGTTTGACTTTGGGAATTGGTAAACTTATAAATGTGCGTGTTCTCTGAACTTTTCTCTGTCACTGTGTAGCATGCACCAGCTTTACGTTACTGCAATTAAAATCTCTTAACTTTTATTTGGACTAGCAAAAAAATATTCTCAGTAACTTAAAAAACTAATGTATCTTTATTTTCTAGTTTACAATAACACAAATTATTTATTTCATTTTTATTACTGGATTTTTTGAGACCCTTGTTTTCTCTGAATAAAATTAATGAATACTTTCTAGGTATATCTTACACATCTGATGTGTATATATTAAGCATTTGTGATGGATTGCTGAGTAAAAAGAGTAAGGTTAGATTGTCCTCATGTGTGGTATATTAAAGTCTGATATTTACTAGGAGAAGTATAGATACTATAAATGTTTAATAATTTAGAGGAAAAATATTAAGAAATCCTTACTGATTTGTACTCTATGGATTCTAGAGTCCAGCTTCATATTTTACTGAACTACCTTGACAGCACCGTCTGGACTTGTGGGCGGTTATTTGCTTTCCTTACGCCTGAACAGTAAGGGCTCCATGTGTGTCTTTCGGTCAGACTCACTTTTAGGCCGTACTTTCCCACGGTCACTCTGCGCGCACCTGATACTTGAATCGTGCTGTTTACATTGCATGCCATGTTGTGCGATGCTTCGTTAGAAAAGAAACTGGGGGTCTGCCAGGTACTCACTTGCCTTTTTAAATCAAAAGTTGTTTTAAGGCACTAATCTGAATACTGTAAAGAGGACTGGTTAGCTTAGATTGTAGTTTGCATTTTATAATGTTCTTATACAGCAGTTTGGTAGTGAAGACGTTTCACATGGCAAGCTCTGATTCTGCACATGGAAACAAATGAACTGTGAAGTACGTAAATAAATTGTGTTCTTGCAACCAAAATAAAGAAGACTTAAAAGGTGTTTCAAAATAATAATAATAATAATAATAATAATAATAACAATAACAATAATAAAATGCCCAGACACAGCTATTCAGTGTCAGGGTGAGATTTGGAACCTCTGGATTTTAACCACCAGACTTCACTATATTGCAGGAAGACACAGTTACTAGATGAATTTAGCTGGGGGTAGAAGACTATGCTTGACTCAGGGTTGTTTTCATTTTGTATGATGGAAAAACAACTAAAACTAGCTTTAAGAAAAAAAAGGATTTCTGTATGGACTCCTGTGACTATTAAAGCTCAGGAATAAGGGCTTCCTGCGCAGCTGGGCCTCGGGGTCTGCGTTCCTCGGTGCTGTTGTCCTCAGGCAGGCCCCCTCCCAGAGTGCCGCCCACGCTGTGGTGTAACCCTGTCACCCTGCAGCCCCCGCGGGCCCAGTGAGTTCCCTTGGGCAGGTTAGATCATATGCTCACCACAGAACAATCGCTGGCTGTAGCGAGGGTGCATGTGTGGATCGCGCTGAGTGTCTTGGGCCTGCATTATGTGCTCACCGTGCAGCGAGGAGTGAGGTTTATCCACACTTAGCCACAGGGACACGATGAGGAAAGGGTGGCTCCCAGGGCCAGCAGGGCCCTGCCACCAGCCAGAGGAACCGCCCTGGCAGACTGCCCAAGGTGTCGGTCGCCCATGTAGGCCTCGAGTTCTTCTGGTCAGACCTGGGCACGGGAGGCAATTGTTGGGGGAGCTGGGGGCTGGGTGGGAGAAGAACCAGGATGTCACGGCAGGCTCCATGGGGCCAAGGCTGGTGCGGGGCTTGGAGAAGTGCAGTGCTGAGGGAAGTGTGTATAACCTGCAGTCTCTCATTCCAGGAAACCAATGGCTGTGACCATGGCGTTCTTCCGGGTGTGTCTAGTGGTAGTGACAGCCATCATCAACCACCCCCTGCTGTTGCCGAGGGAGAACACCACCGTCCCCGAGGACGAGGAGGAGATCATCCGCCAGATGCAGGCCCATGAGGAGAAGCTACAGCTGGAGCGGCTTCGCCTGGAGGAGGAGGTGGCCCGGCTGGCGGCCCAGGAGGCCCTGGAGTCAGTGGCCGACGAGGGGCAGCAGCAGCAGGAGGCCCACGCCGCCTGGGACCTCTGGAGCACTCTCTGCATGATCCTCTTCCTCATCATTGAGGTGTGGCGGCAGGACCACCAGGATACGCCCCTGCCTGCGTGCCCGGGTGGGGATGAGGACGAGCTGCCCGGGCTGGGCACGGCCCCACTGCAGGGCCTCACCCTGCCCAGCAAGGCCACACTCGGCCACTTCTACGACCGCTGCATTCGGGCCTCCACAGCTGATGCTGCACGCACCAGGGAGTTTGTGGAAGGTTTTGTGGATGACCTGCTAGAAGCCCTGCGGAGCCTCTGCGACCGGGACGCAGACATGGAGTTGGAGGACTTCGTGGGCGTGGACAGCATGTATGAGAACTGGCAGGCCGAGCGGCCACTGCGGTGCAGGCTCCTCGTGCCCTTTGTGCCCCCCGAGCCCTACTGCTTCCACCCGGAGCTCTGGTGCTGCGGCCACCCTGTGCCCCTGGACCACCAGGGCTATGGCCGGATCAAGGTGGGCCAAGCCGGTGGGGACGCACTGGGCTGTGTCTGTGGCAAGACCAAGCTTGGGGAAGACATGCTGTGCCTGCTCCACAGCCAGAGCGCCGGGGCGCAGCCCAGCCGCGGGGTGGAGGACCTGCTGTGCGCCCGCGAGTCCCCCTACCTGGATGCCATGCGGGTCATGAAGTGGTTCCAGATGGCCCTCACCCGAGCCTGGCACCGCATTGCCCACAAGTACGACTTTGACCTGGCCTTTGGTGAGCTGCACTCGCCAGGGTCACTGAAGATCAAGTTCCGCTCAGGGAAGTGCATGCCCTTCGATCTGATGCCGGCCATCCAGTGCGGTGACTCCGACCTGTACTTCGTCTCCCGCCTCTCCAGGGAGCCCTCTGGGGGCGGCCCGGCCTCCAGCACTGACTGGCTCCTGTCCTTCGCTGTCTACGAGCGTCACTTCCTCAGGATGACATCCAAGGCACTGCCGGAGGGTGCCTGCCACCTCAGCTGCCTGCAGATAGCCTCCTTCCTGCTCTCCAAGCAGTGCCGCCTGACGGGCCCCAGTGGGCTGGGCCGCTACCACCTGAAGACGGCCCTGCTGCACCTCCTGCTCCTGCGGCGGGCTGCTGACTGGAAGGCCGAGCAGCTGGACGCACGCCTGCACGAGCTGCTCCACTTCCTGGAGAAGAGCCTGCTTGAGAAGAAGCTCCATCACTTCTTTGTGGGCAACCGCAAGGTGGCCGAGGCCATGGGACTTCCCGAGGCCGTGCGGGAGGCCGAGCCTCTAAACCTGTTCCGGCCCTTTGTCCTGCAGCGAGGTCTCTACCGGAAGACGATGGACTCATTCTATGAGATGCTTAAGAATGCCCCAACCCTCATCAGAGAGTACTCCGTCCATGTCCCCTCTGACCATGCCAGCCTGCCCCCTAAGGCTGTCGGCTCATAGAGCATGTGGGATCTGAGGCCCGGAAGGAGGGCATCCTACACATCCACCCCACTGGGCTCTGGGTCCCGGCCTCACCCTTCTGAGAAGACACAGGCTTGGTGGGCACAAGAGGGTCAGTCTGAAGGAAACCAGGGCTTGCAGAGTAGAAGCAGGGCATTTCTACCAAATGCTGACCGGCTTCCTTCATGGTGGGCTCTGTGGGCAAAGCTGATGTGGGCTTGAGAACTGGTCCTTTGCGGAGTGTTTCAGGGTCACTGCACTTGGCTAAGGTGGTGACAGCACTCTGGACCCAAGCTACAGAAAATGAAATGCTAGTTTGAGTGAAATCCTTCTACATCCCAGGACTAATTGTGCTGCATGTCAACAGCAGATCTATAAAGATGCTGCTACTGGGGACCCTGTGTTAAGACCCAGCAGCCAGTGCCCGGAAGTCCTTGGCCCCAGCTGTTGATAGCAAAATGCAAACAGTGGCACCTGTGGGAATTCATAGCTCTTGGCTGCGTCATGCACAGCTGTGGGGTACATGGTGGTTGCCACTTTCTTGAACTGTTTGAGAAAAACAGTAGATTCAGGCCCGTGAGACTAATGTATACGTGCTGTCGAAAAGTATGAAGCTGGCCGCTCCTCTCAGGCGCACCCCACCCCGCCCCTGGGTGCCGTACTAGGTGCCATTTACATACTGGGTGCTAACTCAGTAGCCCCTTGCTTCTCTGTGCTCTCCATAGCTGGTCACCGGTGCGACAAGAGGAAGGCATGGGCAGGTGGTGGAAACTCATCTAGAGAAAGCCTGCAGTGTACCCCAGGCCGGAGGACCAACTGCCATTCCTGAGTTGTCCTTAGCATTCCTATCCTAGGGAAGGCCCGGCTTGGAAGCAAGAGCTGGGTAGAAACAAGCTCCCTGGCCCAAAGGCTGCCCCATGCCTCATCTTTGGGACCTGCTCACTGCACAGCCCTCCCCTTCCTGTTGGGCCCTGCCCACCACCCAAATGCCTTGGACCTTCCCATCCCAGTGGGGCAGGGGCAAGCTCCCAGGCCTTTTCTCTTGGGCTTCACTGTGGAGTTTTCTCTGAGTACCTACTTTGCAACCCTTAAAAAGGGTGGGAGGAAGGGAGAGCAAGGGGTGAGGCTGTGTACCCCAGCAGCAAAGCCAGCTCCACCTGAAGGAAGGCGTTTCTCCCCGCACCAGGTGTGCCCCTGCCTAGTGTCAGAAGGGCATTCCCGGCAGGGAGGTGAACTCTCTGCCGCCAGGGGTAGGTCACAGTGGGCGCCCAGCCACAATCAGGGTGTCACTCCTACGGAGCCTCTACCTCCACCTATGTGGTGAGCAGGAATATCTGCCCCGCCCCTGGGCTCACACCACCTTCCGGTCCTCTTCCCACCCAGGGAACAGCTCCCTATTTATTGCCACCCGTACCCTGCCCCCTTCCTTCTGCTGCATTGGAAGCCAAGCCAGCAACCAGGAACCAAGCTGCCAAAGCTGAGACCAGGCGCGGGTGTCCCCATTTCCCCCTCGCCTCCAAGGGAACGCTCGTCAGAGTGATGCCTCTGCAGCCGTGGTAGACTCAGCTCTCCAGGAGCAGGCTCATAGGCCCTGAGCTGCAGCAGGGCTGTTGGTGTTCCATCCTGCCTTATTTATATTAAAGGAAAATTGAAACTCTTGAAAGAGTGCACAGTTTGTTTCAACCTGCGGAGATTTGTGAGGCTTAGGGCAGAGTTGGGCGGGTGGATCTGCTATGGACAGACAGTGGCTTTTGGTCCCTTTTTATTCTCACACTTGGAAGAAACTTCTAAAAATAACAAAATGGAGCATCGCTGTCTTTGGGGCAGCTGCCTGCTGCCCGCAGGCTTGCAGCAGGGCCTCAGAAGGCCGCTACAGGGATCCACAGGCCGCAGTGCGCAGCACCAGTGTGGGCGCTGGGAGCAACAGGATGCATCTGGTATCCTAAGAAACTGTCCTGTAAGGAGAGGCCCTCCAGCCCTCTAGAGCACCATGCCTCTCCGTGAGGGACACTGCCCTGCCCCCTTCTCTGAGGACTTGTTTTCTCCCCCAGAATACTGGACTCTGCCAGCATCTGCCCCCTCACCCTCTAGAAGGCTCCAGGTCTGGGTTCACTGTACCCCCTGGCGGGTCAGGGTGGGAGAGTGACTTCAGAGGCCAGCCCTAGGTCCTGGGGGTATTTAGGTCGGGGAGGACACCATAGCTTCAGAAGTCTCAGGCCCTGTGTTAGCTTTTCTTCACTGTAATGAAATATCCAAGGCAGGCTACTTAAGAAAAGAGGTTTCTTTAGCTCACAGTTGTGGAGACTCCAAGCTGGAGGTTGAGTCACTGGTGAGGGAGATGGAGTCCCGACCTGGAGGGCCCTCGCGTGGGAGCCAGCACGCCTTCAGCCGGGGAGCAGAGCCGGGTGGGCCCAGGCCAGGGATTTTGTGATCACCCTCGTTTGCTCTAACGGGTCTCATGAGGAGCTACCTTAACCCATGCATGCGGCACAGCTCCGTGGACCCCAGGCCCTCCAGCTGGGCCCCACCTGTTCAGGGTTCCTCCACCTCCCCAGACCACCACACTAGGGCCCGGCTTCTGACACACGAGTCTCCAGAGGGCACAGGACATGGAGGCCACAGCTAGCTCCTCCCTTGCGCCATGGCGAAGCACCGCCCAGGATGGGAACCTGAGCTAGCTAGGGCAGTGATGCTCTCAGGGCTGTCATGGGGACACCTGGAGAGATTGTCATTTTCCCAAACGCTGCCTCGAACCTGCACATGCCCCATATCCAGGCCGAAGAAGCCCAGTGGAGCTCTTTTTAAAGCCTTCCCCAGTGGCTGGTGGCACCCAAGGCAGAAGGAAGAAGGGATCTCGCTTTCTTTCCAAATGGAAAACTCAAGAAAGTGAGTGGCCTACCTTCCCTGCAGAGCCATTGGAAGCTGGCCCTGGGAGAGGCTGAGAGAGCCCGCAGGGGTTGTGTGGCCCGCCAGCTAGGCCAAGGCCGCTGAGCTTACCCATACTGCCACCAGGGACAGGAGAAGAATCAAGCAGACAGCAGACAGCAGACACACACTGGCTCCTAGCAGGGCGTTACTAGGTCCCAAGCATTGTTGACGGCAATTTGAGCAGCACTGAGAAAACATGGAATAGGACCAAGACTGACCAGGGAAGGACCGGAGGGGACCCTCCAGGGACTCACCTGAGCACAGCACTGCCAGAAAGACCAGAACACTACCAGTGGATTCCAGCTAGACCCAAAGGACCCATTTCTCCACATGTGACCCACACAGTACTCCTGTCACTGCAGGGTACGGGCCATGCTGAAAGCAGCGTGCAGTCTCTAGGAAGTGGGTCCAGGAAGCTGCTGTGTGGGATAACACCTGAAGTCTGCCACAGTGGGGCACTGCCTAACACAAAAAGTACCAAAGTAAGCCCAAAGTGGCACAGAAGCAGACACGCTGCCCCCCATTCCTATACTCACACCTGTTTATGCCCACCTGTTCCTACACTCGCACCTGCTTATGCCCACCTGTTCCTACACTCACACCTGCTTATGCCCACCTGTTCCTACACTCGCACCTG